TTGTGTGAGCAAAAGCGCTGCCAAGTTTCTGGCAAGAAATAGAATAGTGATAGTGTGCAAATGTATTCAGTGATTGTATTCACTGCAAGGTTTGCAGTGCAATGTTTTGAAGTTATTCAAGTTAAAGAAAAGGAAAAAGACTTGCACTAACTATTCAAATTATTATATATTGTTGAATATATCTGTTTAATATATACTGATGTTTACATTTTTTGTTAAGAATGTTTGTTAATGTTTGTTAAGTTACATAATCTGAAATAAATGAGAGCTAACATTTCAGCATATGAAATAAATTTCCAGAAAAATATTGCGCTTTCTTGTACTTGAATGGTAAAATGGCCCTCCTATGGGTTTTCGTTAACAGCAGTGGCCCCCAGCCAATTTGAGTTTGAGACCCCTGCGTTAAAGGATTAGTTCACTTTTGTAAAAATTTTTGCTGATAATTTACTCACCCCCATGTCATTCAAGATGTCCATGTCTTTCTTTCCTCAGTCGAAAAGAAATTTAGGTTTTTGATGAAAACATTCCAGGATTTTTCTCCATATAATGGACTTCAATGGGAACCGGATGGTTCAAGTATCAAAAGATGGTTAATAACTGTTTCAGATGCAGCTTCAAATGTCTTTAAACGACACCAGACGATTAATAAGGGTCTTATCATGCAAAACGATCAGTTATTTCAAAACTTATTCCAAAAATGTAACTTTTATAAGGACAAATGCTAGCCTTGCTATATTCTCTGAGGCGCGTTTGTAACGTCACGTAATACGTAATTACGTTCAAAAGGTCACGGGCGACGTAGCCGGAAATACAGAATCAAAATCGTCCGACATCGTTGTTTTTCCTTTTAATTCCTTTTTTTGTAAACGGTGTTTGAGTTAGTTTGCACGTTCAACCTATGCGTTCAACTTGTAAACACTGACTCTGTACTTTCGGCTACGTCGCCCGTGACGGATGACATGGGGTTGAGTAAATTATCAGCAAAAGTTTTTTCAAAAGTGAACTAATCCTTTAAAGGGTACCCTAAAACTTTGGATGTTGACGTATGGTAAAAAGCGTCAGTTAGATGACGTCTTGGGATGAGAATATGTTGTAAGAACATATAAATAAAAGTCAAGGGAGATTATTTAAAAAAAAAAATCTTATATTTAAGATAAAAAATTGAGGAATATCAAAACAGTGCTGCCTTTCAAACACTGTTATGGTTTAGTTAAGCAGACAATTTTTGCCAGACTGCATGGAGAACATAAAAAAACGATATCAAGTTAATTTAATAGTGATCTTTGAAAGTGAAATTTACCATTTCAGAATAATGCCTACATATCTAGAATTAAACTACAGGAATACAAGTACAACTTAATTATTTACAATATTAAACTGACAGGTATACTCAATAAAGTACACAGCTATTTCTTATCACACTGAATAATTCATGCAGGTACATCGATTCCAAAAAAGGCCCCAGCGAAATGGACAGGAAGCAGCCCTCATGCCGTGCTGCAGAGTTGCGTAGGGTCCCGCAAATTACTCAAGGTCCCGCCTCCCCCTCGTGTCAAAGCGCGTCAATCAAAGTTTACAACGCATTCTCACCCCAAGGCGTCACCTTTGACCATGCTTCAATATTTGACGTTTTAGGCGCCCTTTAGCGTCACTTACATGACGCGATCCTACGGCGTCATCTAACTGACGCTAAAGGAAAGCGTCAGTTAGAGGACGCGGTTAGGTGTGGGGTGGGGGTAGGGTACACGCGATCCTAGGGCGTCATCTTAATGACGCTAAAGGGGGCCTAAAGCGTCAGATATTGAAGCATGTCCAAATGCTTCCCAAGGCGTCAGTTAAGTGACGCCTTGGGGGTGAGAATGGGCTGAAGTTTACAACATCGAAAAGACAAGACTGAGAGAAAAACACCATGTGAGTAAATTGCCGGAAAGGAGATGAGGCAGACTTGTGTTGTACTCTCCAAGTTTGATGTCAGCAAAGAACAGTAATGTGCATCTCTCTCTATCTGTCTGTCTAACCAGCCCGATCTCATGAAAGCACCTATTCCACGAATTTAATTTCTCATGCCATTTATACGCAAAAAGTGTAGGCTATATGAAAAAAAAATGCCATACAAATAGCACGAGAAATTAAATTCTTGTTACAGACGCACTTTCTTGAAATTACGTTTGATAATACAAAGGGCAACGGTGTTTATAAACTGCAGCTCGGAAGCTCGTGCATGAAATGATACGCTCAGTCTCCAAGTCACCGTGATAACTTATACAACTCTGCAATAAAGCAAGATGGAAAGCAATCTATTTGCATTGACTATGTTGCATTTAAAATGTTGATTGGCTGGATATACTGGTCATTATGGATGCACATCCCTCAATAAATAATAACCTTCAAGTAGCCTATCAATTATTGCTTTTATCATTTAAAACACAGTGACATGGAATGGCAAGCCATATTAGGAAGCATTTTTGATATCATTAATTACATTGGCAACTATTCAAAATGTAAATTATTGATATTAATATAAACTAAGTCTATTTCTAATATCAGGAATTACATTTTCATTTGTACTTACTAATGAGGGAGGATTGTAGTGGGAGAACTGGGGTGTCAGGTGTGACTGTGTGGCAATGGCAAATGGTCTACTTGGCTCATGGGACTGAAAGACTCAGCAGGGCAGCATGTCACCATCACAGAATTCAGAAAGAATTTACGAAGCAGTCATTCATGTTCAGTTCTGGTAAAAACATGAGAACAAAACGTCATGTATAGATTCTGAAACTCTTTGAAAGGCTTTCTCATTTTAATTTTCTAATATTCTAATAATCACTAATGTAATACCAATATAGCTATATGCTTTTTAGTCTTGGAGGCTTAACGTATTATGCTGATTACATCGGCATTAATTTCCACTTCTGCTTATAGAATAAAGAACAACATGTCACCTCAAAATGGATGCATGCAAACCTATTGTTTTGTTTTGTTTTTTATAATTAATCATTTAATTCAATGACCACAGCAATTTGTCTTTGTGAATTAACATATTATATATTTATTTTCCTCACAAAACCATCCCCCAAAATTTGCATCTTCTATAAATTCAAACAACAGCTGGTGGAGCAGAATAGATTTGTTGTTTTGTGCCTGTTCGGTGCCCTCGGCATCTTAATGATAAACTTCCATCTTTTCTCTTATAGGCCATTAAATCTTAAAAGCATTTTTTTAGTCTATATTTTGAAATGTTATCTGTCAATACAGGCAATCTAATTGTGTATACTCACTTCCCTATGTTTAATATTTCAAATTAATATTTAATTATTTGCTGTCATCTAACACTCAACTTTTTTTGTCCATTACAAATATATATTTATTTAGACAAATCAGCTGCATAACATGAATATATGTGTCACAGTCCTCCGTCTGCACCAGTCTGTCTTGTCTTCAGCACTACACTTCCCAGGATCCTCTAGTCACCCTATCCCGTGTTCACTCCCTCATCAGCCACCTGTTCCTCGTCTTGATCATCTGTTTCACCTGTTTTCACCCCATTATGTTTGATTATTCTGTGTATTTAGTTCCCTCTGTTTTACTCAATGATTGTCGGTCGATGTTGTATGTTACCCGGTGTTACCCTGCCTTTCTGCCTGTATTTTCATTAAATTACATCGTCACTGTGAATCTGGACTCCTCCCGTTCCTTCCGCCTACACTCCTGCATTCCTGCACCTTACCCCGTGACAATATGGTATATTCTGTATATTTGTTTTTGTTATATTTTTGAAACTGGTTTCTTTACATTTTTATTTTGAAAGGAATGTTCCAAATAAGTATTAATTTTATTACATTTTCATTACATTTATTTAAGTTTAATAGTTGTACATAGTAATTTTGATTGTATTGATATCAATTAGAGCCATCCAATGTTTTTCAGGCAGGTGGGCCTAATCTTTCTTTCCCTGCAATAATGACGTTTTTTTTTACACATGATTTAAAATAACCTACTTCAAACTCTGCCTTATTCATGTCCAGTACTTTTTCTTACAATATTAATTTTAACTGTATTTGCATAGACGTTTAAAATCCAAAGGCGTGGTCACTAAAACGCTTGATGAATACACAGCTTGACTTAGTGTTGATGTATTGTTTACCATCTGTTGGCCAAGCATGCTGACAGAAATTAAAGGCACGTGCCCAGTGCCCAACTCTGCCGTTCTCACAGCTAGAAGACAATAAATGACTTGCTTCTAATAATACAACTAGGTGAGACACGCCAGCTTGCAGTCACATTATTAGAGGCAATCACTGATGGTCAAATCAGGTGACTGTTTGGAGGGCAGAAGGGACGGGACTGCAACGAAGTGAAGTGTTCATCTTTATGATTGCTTGCACACTGCATACTTTATTGTAGAGTTCTAATGTTGCTTTATAAATTTGTCAAGTACCTGGAGATACCAAAAATGAAAAATCTGTCATCATGTTGTCATACCTGTGACTTTTTTCTGTGGAACACAAAGTATATTTTTAACAACATCTCTGTTTTTTTTTTTTGTTTGTTTTTTTTAAGGTGGTAAGAGGGTCCAGTGACCTGCATTATATGGAAAAAAAAAATAAAACAAATCTTTTCTAACTTAGTAAAGGTTAGGAATGATATGAGGGTGAGTAAATTATGGCAGAATTTATCTTTTGGTTGACCTGTCATTTATAATCCATAATGTAAAAATGCCACTTCCATGCTGCCATGGGTTCATTATTATAGAGGACTATTACTTATATAATATAACCAGGAAAAAGTAGCCTATACTGCATGAAATATGGACAAGATACTGGAGGATTCCTCACTCATTGAAATTTTGATGACTATTTTTCCCCTTCTTCAAGCAAATTTTATAGCAATAAGTTCTAATTTATAAAGCATTTTATACAGCATTTAATTAACTTTTACAACCGTTCCAAGTTCACATAATTGAAGTCATCGCAATTCGACTTAATTGAAGTGACTGAAAAGCTCCTGCTCGAGAGCAATAAGGAATTTGTCAAAAACGTCTCTCAGCCTCCGTGTGCCTGCATCAGTCCCTAGAGAGACATGAAGGGTACAGACAGCCTACAGCACCAGGTCAGGTCTCTCAGCAAGTTTCAAAGCCTCGTGCATGCTGGCTGCCGAGAGCTTGCGGTTGATGTTCCGATAGCGGCAGCGAATGAGGTTGTGGTAGGTGGTCCGAAGGTCCCTGTTGAAGAATGCATAAATGAAGGGGTTTATGAGTGAGTTGGCATAGCCTAGCCACAGCAGCGTCCTCTCCACCCACAGAGGCACGCAGCTGCATTGCACCCCACAGATGAACGGACGCGCCGTGGACAGCAGGAAGAAGGGCATCCAGCACACGGCGAAAGCCCCCACGACAATCCCAAGGGTGGCCGCCGCCTTCTGCTCCCTTTTGAAGATGGAGATGTTTTTACGATTACTTTTGAGACGGCGAGAAAAGCTCACGCACTCTTTCACCTCCCTCTGCAGCTTTAGGGCCGCAGTCACGCAGTTCACGCTTTCCTCGTCTTCCGCTTTGGGAAAGCCAGCGATCGTGTGCTTGGCGGCACTCACCTTCGCCACCCTGTATATCCGGTAATACATAATGAGCATCACGGACATGGGGATGTAGAAAGCCACGGCAGTGGAGTATATAGTGTAGCCCAGGTCCTGGCTGATCAGACACACATTGTCATCATTGACATTCTGAGCCCATCCAAACAGTGGGGGTAGGGTGATGGAGGCAGAGAGAAGCCATACAGAAAGCACTATTTTGGCCATGCACTTTCCACTCTGTCTCATAGGATACGTCAATGGCTTAGTAATGCCCAGGTATCTGAGAAAATGGAGTGGAGAATGGGAAAAATGAAAGAAGGCAGAAAAAAAGTGCATCAGTCAAAGACTGCATAAAGGTGGGCAATTTCACAGTGACATTCTTTGCCCTTCTTTGGAATAAATCGAAGCTTAAAATAACTTCTTGAAAAGAGACCCCTGCTGTCAAAAGGGCTAAATAAGGTATTGAGTGTTTTTGATATGGATATGGTGGTTTTCAACCTAGACATAAAAACCACAAAACCACATAAAACCACAGTGACATGCATGCATTCAATATTTAAATCTACACTGTAAACGATTTCTGTTGTTTTCACAGGATTATACTGTTTTTGTCAACAGTTTCTAATCTATGTACAGTAAGTTACAGTAGATTTAGTTGTTTTCACAGTATTATTTAGTTTTTTCAACAGTTATGTACTCTGCACACAGTTGACAGTATGTTATTTAAATCTATAAAAAGTGGTAGCCTGCAATACCTTAAAAAACTATTTCTACCTGATTTAAAATTGTTAGTAGGCTATTTATTTAATATTTTAAATAAAGGTATAAAACCCTTATATGATTGTATTTATAAAATATATACATATAAAATCCCTATATAAATTCCTCATTCATTCATAATTAGATTTATCTGAAAAGCATGCTGTTTAATGACAGGTCTAACTGTGACAATATGCCCGCTGCAGGTACGCTAAATATGGTGCGTGTTTTTTTTCCCTTTTAGTCATTAATGTTGAAAATGTTTGGTGGCTTATTTGAAGGCTATAGGCAAGTCTTAAGGTGTGTATCTATAAAGAAACTGACTTAACAACTTAAAAGTAGGCCTATGACAAAAAAATAAACCCACCCTGAAATTTTCACTTAAATAAAAAGTGTGACTTGACCCGGTCTCTCAACATACTGTAGCTAAATATACAGACTGAATCAAACATTTAATCTGAACTAATCTAACATCTACTTGGTTAGCTTTCTATCAAACAGCACGTATATCTGGGAGACCTACCTGTCTATGCTAATGACACACAGTGTCATTATTGAAGCGGTGCAGCACATCACGTCCATGGCGATAAAAACATTACAGAAAACACGACCAAAAATCCACTGTCCTCCGATGAGGTCAGTGATGCTGACAAACGGCATGACGACCACCGCCACCGAAAGGTCTGCAACGGCCAGAGAAACGATTAAATAATTAGAAGGTTGCTTTAGTTTCTTCACGAAACACACTGAAATGACCACCAGAAGATTCCCGCAAACTGTTAAAAGGGTAAGCAAGGTCAGAACTCCTCCGACGAGCACTTTCTCAACATGTCCGTAATTCAAAATCGGATGTCCGCATCTGGTCTCGTTGTCCATAAAACTTAGCGTCGGCAAAGTTGTAGTGGTGTCCATCACTTCAGATGTCAAACTGGTCATGAGTGCCTGCACGCGATCCTTCGTCACCGCGGAGATCATGTTGACTGTCGAGAGCTGTCCTTGGTTCTGAAACGATGTTGCTCTCATTATCCATAAGATATCAGAGTTCAAGTTAAATACATTATGTGTAACTAACTGGTTTTTCTGGTTCTATCTGAAATAGAAGAACATCCCAACACGCTGAGAGCCACACAAACTGTCAAGTTAACGCTCACAGAATGAACCGCGCGCTCTTCGCGGCTTTTATTTCATGGCGTCTTGACAGTGCGTAATGACGTGAGGTGCTTATAAGCGTAAATCTTTAAAAAGTGCTAAAGTGTTTTTTTTTTGCAAATGTGCAGTGTTGCGACTATGACTGTAGCAATTGGATGTCATGAGACAAGACAAACAGGAAAATATTATGGTTGTTTTTTTTTAAGAGTTGCCTTTTTAAAAGAATTCGGTGCTAATGTAAAGAAAAAGTAATATTGCAAATAATATTTTCTTTAAGAAAGACTTTTCTGAAAGACTTTGCTTTAAGAAAGACTTTTCTCTACCACACTGTAAAAATTTCTTGTCAAATTAACAGTAACTTACTGGCAACAATTATCCAGTACTTGCTGTATTTCATTTAACAGTAAAATTACCGTAACACTAACTACATTACTGTTAAGCATACTGCAAATTAAATAACATTATTTTACTGTAATTTCTTACCATATTAAAGTACAGAATTACACTGTTAATTTTTAATAATACTGTATAGTATGAAATGTTATTGTATTTATTTTATAGTGCTACTGTGTAACCTGTAGAAAATCCGTATAAATATTATTTTAACTGTTAATGGGAAATAGAAAAAAGAACAATTGAAGCTTTAACTGCACAAGGTTTATTGTGTATTTTCAAACACATTAGTACATTTACATAATATACATTTAAATACATTAATACAATTAAATACATTAATAATAAAAATGTAATATAATACAATAAAAATCATGCATGACAATCATGAACAATTATGCATAAATACATGCAAAAATTATCATGAACAGGTAAAATAGAAAAGATTAAAGGGGTGCTATCTGATCAATCTATTAGAAAGATAGTTCATAACAACTCATCCACCCACTCCCTGCTGGGGTAAAACAGCTTAAACTAGTCTAAGATTGTCTATTGGTTTGAGATAGACTGTCTAACTGGTCAGTTGCTGATTTTAAAGGGTTTTTGGCTGCTTTCTATCTAAGGGACCAGATTTGCAGGGCTGGGAGACACATATAAACTTATAAACTATAAAAGCTTTGACGAGTAAACCACCAATCCAGATGAGTATAACAAAATGACAAGTTATCCAGTGTCCTTTAAAAAAATTAAAAAAATAAACACAAAACAACCTCATCATGCACATGTGCCATGAAAAACTTGCATTACGGTATTAATAATTATTTATATGCAGACTTATGTTCTAACTTTTGCAATAGGAAGTTTTCTATCCAAGCTTTTATGCAATTAAACCTTAAACTGTACAGTAACGTTTATTTTCACACAACAATTCTAAACAACTTGCAGATAGACAAAATTCACAGATGGATAATAATCTGTTTAAAATGTCCTCAGTGGGTCAGTACTGGACCAAGGTATAGTAGTAGTAGTTAGATAAATAGAATAATTAAATTAGATTAGATTTACAATTCATCGGTCGTCAAGATGGATAGGGGTCTTCTTAACATGCACAGCTCACACCTGTGGAAAAGGAGAACAGACAAGACAGTTAAAATATAGTACGTTTTTGTTGTTGTTTTGGCTAAACAGCAAAAACAGACAAAATGATGTCTAAAGTGTAATTCACTTAATACTAAAATCTTGTTTGTTGGACTGTTGTTTAAAATCAATTCATTTACGATCACGTGAAAACGTAGGCTAAATCTTGCTTGTGTGATACTAAGTTACATGACTTAAAAAAAGATTGACAAGGCATCGTTCCCTTCAAATGAGTACATGTCAGTTTACACATAGTAAAAAAAAAAAAAAAAAAAAAAAAATGATATTATAGCCGACAATACTGCTAGTATATGCAGTGAATGGTTCCTACCGGAACACCCCCAGGCAGTTTGTGTAGTTGGTATGACCCGGGTTTTTTTTGTTGTTGTTGATTCTAAGTTCGCTAGTAAAGTGTTCAACACCAGGCTAACTCCCTCGTGTATGTGTCGTTAACGATAACCAAAGATTAACAAAGACCACAACAAATACTGTAAATGTCACACATAGCTTTGTATTTTGGACAAAAATACACCTTGGGCGCTTTCCGCGGTCCAACTTTATCACTGAGGTAACGTTATAATGGCAGAACGCCAGGTCAGGATTTACACGAAAATAAGCGTGAAAAAATCAATAAGAGGAATCGGCACTTTAATTTTATAACAATAAATCCGAATCCTAACCTTGGATGTCCAATTTCAGGATACATTTATCGATTAGCAATTCCTAACCCCTGTAAGTCATAAAATAATGAACGTGCAGGCGCTTCCACCGACTTAACGTGGTAAATAACAAAATGATTAGACCATTTTGACCGTATAAGAGGTTACATATGAAATATATGTCAATAAAATCACATTTAATCAAGTAAGGCTATCAACATAAAAGAAATCCGCGTCTGACTTAGGGCTACGTAGAACATTCCGCGGCCACTTCTTTCTAACGTTAACGTAAGTAACTCATATGGTTTGCATAAAAATATGAATTACTAACCAGATGTATGGCGAAAACGTTGCCGACCGACAGCGACGCGATGCACGGCCTGCGTGTTCTTACAGAGGGAAGGGAACTGAAGAGTTCTTCATAAAATGGCAGCTTGTTGTGGTTATTTTTCGCGGTCATTTCGTACTAATTTGAATTTACAGTAATATCCCAAATGGCTACATTGAAGAGTAGCCTATCATATACATATTATATTAAAATGTCTAGAATATATTAAATTGAATATAGAAATCGTGGTCAGCTATTCTAAATAACTTTAAAGTTATTAGCTAGAATCCGTTTGCATACACATTATAAGAATTATTACTTACCAGATGAAGAAGTTGCAGGTCGGCAGAAAAGACAGCAGCACCACTGACACGACAGAGAAACTCTTCCAAAGTCAAATATGCTCTCATGCACACCCCACTGACATAAATTATGTCATAAATTATGACTGTTAATGGTCAACCAGTGCTACATTTTTATTTTAAATGTAAGAATAACATTAGTAGGCTAGCAATTTTACCCGTGGAACTGTGTGTGGTGTTTTTCGCGGTTAATTGCACTGCTGTATTTAGATTAACAGTAACTGATAATTTCCCAGAATGCATTGCAATTCTACAGTAACATACTGTCAGCTGTGTGCACAGTACATAACTGTTGAAAAAACAATTTAATACTGTGAAAACAACTAAATCTACTGTAACTTACTGTACATAGATTATACAGTAAGAAACTGTTGAGAAAAACAGTATAATCCTGTGAAAACAACAGAAATCATTTACAGTGCATATCATGGCCTTACATAGAATTATGATTACCAATTGTGTGATCATATTTATACTTTTATAAAATGCAAACCACTCAAATTGAACAAGTTAACTTGCTACCTTAAATAAAAATCAAAGTACCACTACCACAGTTACAAAGTGCTTTCATTGCACTTATCACTTTCAAGTTTAAATCCATTGAAAAAGTTGAGAGAATCTATTGTGGTTATAATAAGATGTTTTCATTTTTTATGAAATACTATGTTTTCCAGGAGCAGTGTATACAAGTGACCATACTTAATATATATTTTTACAGTTTCCTCTTATTTCCTCATGTGAATAACTTTTACAGATGTCCTCTTTAGGTTGATTCCCCTTAAAGGGATTGTTCGTTCAAAAATGAAGAAGATATTTTGAACAATGCTGGTAACCGTCTCAGGTTACGACTGTAACCTATGTTCCCTGAGAACAGGGAACGAGACAATACGTCCAATGACGCTATGGGGGAACGCCTCAGGCGTGACAGGTGTCTGAAATCAAATATCAACTCACAGTAATCAGGTTGACCGGCGACAGCCCGTGCATCATCAGCTTGAATGATGAGCGCGTCAATCTGGATGTATAAGAAGGGCGCCTTGAAACCGTGACAACATCCTATCGTCTGAAGGGACTGTTGCAGGCAGGCCCCGAGGCATGGCAACGAGACGTATTGTCTCGTTCCCTGTTCTCAGGGAACATAGGTTACAGTCGTAACCTGAGACGTTCCCTTTCGAAGGGAACTCAACAATACGTCGAATGACGCTATGGGGAACGAAATACCCACTCCGCCATGCTGAGGGGAGTGCATGCCGAAAGGCAGTGACAACTGTCAGAACCAGTAATTCCAAGGAACACTGAAATCACTCACCCTATGTTACATCGGGCTGTCAGTGACAGCACTCCCTACCGGTCATAGCCCAAGCTAATGAACCAAGAAAAACCAGAACGTAATAACGTGAGTAAATCAGGGCCAGCTCAAAGGCTTTAGGACCACAACTTCAAAATAGAAGGGGTCCCTTCTAGGGAGTGTGGCTAGGGGGCCAAAGGGACCCCCAGCCAGTCACTATTCAGGAGAACACTCCTCCTGAAATGCCCCCAGGCTGGCCTGGTGATCTGTACTAAGACACACAGTCTGGCCATAGCCTGTCCGTCCAAGACAGAGCCTCTGGAAATTGCCTAGAAAAGGCATCCAAAAACTGAAGGCCCGCGAAGCTGGCGGAAACCATCGAGTTTCGGATCACAGAGACGGGATCCTCCGGAGAGTGTGACTCAACCTCGAACCAATGGGAATCGTACACTCAATCCACGAGTTTCCACCCAGTGCTCGCTTTTGAGCACTGAGGAAGTAAGAGAGGGATCAAAATCAGGAAGGTCAAAGAGACCTAAGACCTGATGACCCCATGTGTGGGGAGCTCCGATACATGAGGGCTCATGTCAGGAAGGCCGTACGTTGTGCGGCCTGAAACCCAACGACCACAGCATGTGGAAGCTCATCCTTCAGGAAAGCCAGAGGCTAGAACCTGACAGACCCACAATGTGGGGCTACCTTCGAAAAAGGTCTAATGAGACCTAAAACCACCAGTTGTGGGAGATAGCTCGAACAAGGGAAG